TGAGGGGAGCGGGCGCTGAGGGGAGCGGGCGCTGAGGGGAGCGGGCGGACCGCCGCCTCCCGCCCCGCTGAGCGCTGTGGGCAGGTGGCAGCGCGGCCCCACGCGTGACCGCCGCCTCCCACGGGCGCGACCCCGCTCTGCTCCGCTCTCCTCCCTCCTCCTCGCCTACCTTGCACGGTCAGCACGGCGAAGCAGACACAAAGCAGATCCTCCAGCGCCATGTAAGCCCCGCCGGGCGCCGGGAGCTGGGGCCGCCGCGGCCGCATTTACCAGGGGAGCGCGCTCTCCCGCCGCCCCACCGCCATCTTGTGCGAGCGCCCCGGCCCCGCGCTGCCCGCCGGGCCCGCTGCTGCCGGCGGGGGGAGGAGGAGAAGGAGGAGGAGGGGGCGGCCGGGCTGCGCCGCTCGCCGCTCCGCCTTTGTCAGCGAGCTGCCGCCGAGCCGAGCCCCGCACCGCCGCTTTCTCCTCCTCCTCCTCCGCCCGCCCAACAGGTTGCTGGCAGCCGGGGCCGGCCCGCTGCTGAGGGCGGGCGGCAGGTGCGGGGCTGAGGGGAACGGGGCTCAGAACCGCTCGCTGGGCTTTTTGCTCACGGTGTTAAGATTCCTTCTCGTTAAGGGTATTTAGTCACTTATCGGCGCGCGCCACGGCAGCGGAGCCGTGCCGCACATCGCGCACGCGGCTGCCCGCCGGCGCTGCTCCGCCGCGCGGTTGGCGCGAAGCCGGAGGCGGCCGCGTGCTGAGCGAGCTCCGCTCCAGGCTCGGAACGCACGGCTCGCGGGAACGGACCCGAGGCAGAGCTCGGGGTGTGACAGCAGGCTGACAGCGCAGCTCCGTCCCGCAGCTCTCGCGTGCAGAGCTGACGATTGACAGCCCTCCTTTCTCTCCGGCTTTTTCCCACCTGCTCCCTTCTGTGAGAGGTGGCTTTAAAGGTGCTGTCAGATGGTTTTAACGAGGCTGGAGGAATGCCTCCTCATTGTGCCTGCTCTGGTTTGCTTGCAGACACACCCCTGCTCTTTTTTTCCTCGTATCCTGCACATTTCTCCTTCCCTGTAAGCAAGGAAACCTTTACCTAAATTCCGGGCTAGCCCAGCACGATATAAGAAATGAAAACTGCTCTTTGGCTGCTTCTCGTGCAGTGCGGTTCAGAGCCTGGAGGTGTGGTCCAAACAGAGACCTTAAAGGAAATGAAAGAGACAGAAGTTACTTGCAAATTCAGGAGGATACAAACTTAAAGCAGGATGACTATTTTAAAAATCAGCATGTGTGTGTTCTTATTCTGGGCTGAGCTTGTTTTGTATTCCCTTATTTTAACCCTGCACGCTAAAGAGGACAATTTCCATTTGGAATATGCACTTGCTTTCCAGACTGCATGCCCTGCAAACCCCCTATCAGAAGCAGCTCCACCTCAAATCCTGGGCTGCCAAACCCCAACACCCTGAACTCAGAGCACACTGAAGCCTTTGTAGACATGAAACCATCCCCTCCCCGGGCTTAGTGCCCTCCAGTTCCACAGATAATCCCTTCTGCCCACAGCCATCACACAGGGGTCAGTGCTGGAGATGCTCACGTTGCTGCTCTTCCAAACAGGACTGAGTGGCCCATTCTTACACAGCCCCTGCCCTGGTTGCCACCTGCCTTTAGCTGCAGACAGGTCTCCAACATGGGGCTCTATGATGGATGTGAACTGCTCTCATTACCAGAAGAGGTGGCTGCTTTCTCCTTTGAGCCAGCATTAGAGCCTGGAGATGGACAGAGGAAGGGACGGAGCTGAAAACTTGACTGGCAACAGCAATAGCAGCAAAATCAACCCTCTGCTCCAGCTGCCTGTTCAGTCACCCATGAGCTGGTGCCAGCAGAACGAAAGCAGTGGGAACAAGTAGGCAGAGGCATGAAGAAGCTTTCAGTGGCAACACAAAGCCAGTGCTCAAACTCATTGCAAAGCTGCAGCCTCACTCATCCCAGAGCAGGAATCTCTCAGGGACCTTTCCTACGAGGATCACTTCTTTGCCAGACTTTTGGTCTGGCAGCAACTCCTGCACGAGGATGCATTGACTTCCAGATGAGAGAAGCGACGGTAGCCTCCTGCTCTGTATGTGCAAGCAATGCCAAACAGGAGCAGCTGGTTGCACATAATAACATGCATTGTGTAAGTGAGCAACACAATAAGCAATTTGCTCGACAACCCGGGGACATCAGGACAGTTCTGTACAACAGAGAATAAAGAAAAGGGTAAAAAAACATGTGATGACCAAACCCTAAGGGATCCTCAGTCTACTACACATTCATTTCATTACGCTTGCTCTTATAAATATTTATTATGCTGGCTATCTCATCATTCTTCCAGCAATGGGTGCTGCGTTACTGCTGTGCCCAGAGAGGGCTTTCCCCCTTCCCTGGTTCTGCTGCAGGCAGTCGGCACTTGCCAAAGATAGATAGGGAACAGGAGCATGACATTAACAATGGAAAATGCCACTTAAAATGGGGCTCTGGGGCAGATATTGGCAGGTGCATTGTTAGGAGAAAAACAAATAGAAGAGGAAAAGCCAGCAGGTAATGAGATTTGGAAGCTCGTATTTAAAACACGCACACTGCAGACAAGGGGCTGGTCCTACAGCCAGAACCACGAGTGCAGAAATCTGCATGCACCCAGGATGGGGGAGGCTGGATTCAGATGAGTGCTGGGCTGTGAAATGGCTCACAGCGAGACCAAGGCTTGGTCTGAATAGCAACATCACCTGCCTGCACATGGGAACCATCATGCTAAAGCAACCTGTATACATAAAGCTTGGGGTTTGTTCTTTTTTGTCTCTTCATCTCATATCACTGCCTGGACATCCTCCGTGCCCTGCTCCCAGCTGCTCACTGGGACTTGTCACCCAAGTGAGGATTTGAATGATCGAATGCTAACCTGCCTTGCACAGAACCCCACCACTGCTTCGTTATTCGAGACAGTGGCTGGGGTTGGGTTACTGAAAGCCTGCTTCAGGAAAACATGCTGAGACAGCCCAGGTTGGCAGATCTGAGATGAAATGAATGTTTTGTTAAAGTTAGTCCCTTGCCTCCAGCCAAGAGTCTTTTTTGTGCCTATGTATTAGTTAACCACCTTGTTCACTGCCAGTTATAACCAAATAAAACTCCAGCAGAAACACCCCCGTGTGTTACAAGCAGTTGCACAGAACATCACTGTCCTATAAACACACATCTGTGAAAAAAATATTTGCTCATAAACAACATCTGTGTACCTCTCCCTACAGCAGTTGCCAAGCGTCACTAAAAGGTGTGATCCTTAAATAGTCTAAATTCTATCTGTTGCCACGCTACCTAATAACCTAATAAGGTTGGTTTTAGGCATAAAGAACATATGTAACATCAGGAACTGCTGCGCATAAGGGCTGCTGATAGAAACACCCGCCAGGCTCCTTTGTAGTGGGAAATGTGTCCGTGTGCCAAAAAGAAGGATCTGCTCTGAAGTTTTATTAGATCTCCAGCGCTGCTATAAAACGCCACACTCCGAGCAAGCAGCAGGCAGGCTGCATGCTGAGCATCATCATGCCACCCTCTGGTGGCTGAGCCCTGAAAATGGAGCAGCTAGCACCCAAGGATACATGATACCTGTATGCCATCAGGGCGTTTTTGGCACCCACGGATCTGGCTTGTGTGCCAGCAGGTGGTTTTGTAGCACTGAGCTGAACACGGGTAAGCAGCAGCAGCCACCTTTCAGCCAGCATCGCTCAGATCTGGCTTCCAAGCTAAGGGGAAGGCTTGAATGAAAACACACCTGCACTTGGGAGATGCTGGGACCTGAGCTGAGGCTTTCATCCCAGCCTGACACGCTGAAGCTCTGCAGATGTTCATGGAGGACAGGCCTTAGACTTCTACATCTCTGGCTATTCTCTGCTCAGAAACTGGGGCCATATACCTTCCTCTTAAGATAGCTTCAGCTACAAAGCCCTGTATAGTATTTCACACAGAGGCACAGAACCTGACAGCTTTACACATTTCTCCCCTGCACAGAGAACCTCTGCTACCCTGCACCTTCCACCCAGCCCCACGCCGGGCACCAATAACACTGACACCTCCCTTCAGGTGAAGACTTCTAACACCATTACTCAGACACGGCCATTCTGCACCAGGAGTGGGTGCTGGCTCTCACAGCATCCTCCATGCCCTCCTTGTGTAACACAGGCTATTCCCATCCATCTGACAGTCCTGCGACCCTCAATAGATGATGTATTTATTTATGGATTACTGACCACAAGAAAGAGAAGCTTTGCACCATTGTCAACCTTACAGCATTCGGTCTGCTATAAATAATGCATCATTGTTCAAGTGTTGGTTTATGGTTTAAGTTCAGTGGGCAGCGTGGAGCAGCAGACTCAGCAAAGATGAAGGCAGCGCAGGCTATGAGAAACAGCACCATCAGATGGAGAGCATTACAAAAGCAAAGCCCAAATGTAACATTCTCAGAGTTATTTTAATGTCAGCTCCTGCAGCCAGAGACCTGCTTTACCTCTACGTGAGAATCACACGAATCTGTGATTATCACTCTGCTTTCTCCCAGTTGTGAGCTAATTCGATTTCAGATAAACACTAATTAACACGAGAGGTCACCGCCGTGGCCAGCAGGCACCGATGCAACGTGGCGTTCAAACACTCAGAGATCAGAAGAGCCTCCGACGCTTCCTTTGAACTTCCCAATTAAATTCTGCACAAATAAAGCTATTGTTTTACATCTGCTTCATCCACAGGGGAGAGAGGGCAGAGAGCGATGAGATTGCTGCCTCTAATTGGGCTGTTTTCCCTCTTTTTTGACAGGTTCCCTCCCTGTGATTTTTTCCTCCAGACCGGGTGAAGGAAAGCTTGGCCACACTATTTGCAGGGCAGCTTTTGTGCTGCGAGGCTGCAAGCAAAGCTGTGGGGAATCTGATTTCCTTCTCGTGTGCAAATAGCTTTCCTAGAAAGTCTGACAGCCCTTAAGAATGACTCGTAAAACGTGTCTCTCTCTGGCTATTTAGGCAATTCTCTTTTGCCAATGAAGGAGAATATTAGATTAATCCAACTGCTGTAATAGCATTATCTCCCACTTGTAAAGAAAACATATTTTATGTCGTACGTACCCTGATGGAAACAACCTGTGGCTGTGCAGGGCCAGGCTGGTGCTGTGCCACGGGATGCACCGCGTCCTCAGTGGGCTTCAGAGGGGGTTTGTGATGTGTGAATTTCAGAGTTGTGCCACCACAGAGAAACCAAGGGGAGGGAGCACAGCGGGAGCTGCATGCCACTCTTATCTATGGGGAGCTCACCTCCTAAACTCAGGATCTGCTCAGAAAGTGGTGAGGTTCTGGCATTGCTGCCCATTGAAGCTGCGGGTGCTCCATCCCTCGAGGTGCCCGAGGCCATGGATGGGGCCCAGGGCAGCCTGAGCTGGCAGGGACAAACAGCCCACAGCAGAGGTGGGGTTCAAGGGCTTTAAGCTCTCATAGTTCTCATGGGCTGCCTCTTCTGCAGCTCTGCTGCTGTGCCTCAGTTCAGCAGCCAAGCCACCTGGCCCTCCACAGAGGAAGATGTGTTACTCTAAAACACTCATCCTCCCCATTACTGTGCTCCTGGATGCTGCAAATAGTGCTTTTCTGGGCCCAGGATTTAATCAGATTAATTAAACGGCACTTGTATTAATTTAAATTACAAGTATCTGAGGGCTCAGCCAAATCAAGTGATTTATGGGCCATATCAATCTAATTAATGCTACCAACTCTTAAAATAAAAACCTAATAAATGAGTTTATTATACAGATGTAGGATCGACTTATTAGTTTTGGGTCTCCAGTGCCACAGCCAATTTGAAACAAGTTTTATATCCTCACTGGGAAAAGGTCTTCTTTTCTGCCCTTCCTAATTGCTGTATTTAACAAGTACGTCCTATGGGTAAGGGAGAAATGAAGCACGCTCAGTTATCAGACCTGCAGCCAAGCTAAGAGGTCCCTAAGGTATTGGTGTGCACAAATGGCATGGGGTTGACAGCTTACAGCTGTAAGCACTAACAGAACAGCATTAGGACCCCAGGACTGTGGAATCACAGAGTCATAGAATGGTTCGGGTTGGGATGGACCTCAAACACCATCCAGTCCCAACCGCCCTGCCCTAGGACCCTATGTCAGCCAGAGCTGGGAATTAATTCCCTCCAGAAATTTTTGCACATGAAAAGGTTTCCCCATGGGTTGAAGACCACCAGCTTACATTGTTAAAGAAGTACAAGGAATGTTTATTTCAGCTAAAATGGAAGAGCCCACACCGTTAGCCCCCTCACGGCTGTTGCGTGCAGCAAAACCTCAGCAGTCGTAATTTGTAATAACAGAGCAGCATTACCTGCTTTATTTAAAAATGCATGAGCTGGAAGAGAGTTTGAGTTGAGAATTTGAAGCACAAATAGATTTTATTAGAAATAATTAAATCCAGGAAGAGCCAGCAGAGGTTTTATCACTGCGGCGTTGCTGCGTGTGGGCAGGGGCATGGTGACAGCTCTGCTGAATGCCAGATATCACCGAGACATTTTCAAATGAAAGCCAGAGCTCATCCAGGAACACTGTTAAAAGGTGTAAAATGGCCGGATGGCACCGAAATGTTTAAATCTGGCCTTTGCTAAATGTTAATGGATAAACTCTACATCATACATCCAGCCTCCCACATTAAAATCAGCTCTGGCCAGAAGGAGGATGAGAGATGGAGAATAGTTTTGTATGAAGATAAAAAATAGCTCCTACTTTGATGTGACTCCGAGCTCAGTTGGAAATAGCTGTGTTTCCTTCTTGGACAACCTATGTAAAAATATGACAGAAATGTGTATTTGGTACAAGTCTGGCTGCAAAGAAAACCAAACCATGGTGCAAGTACAAATGAGCTGCGGATGCTCTTGCAAAGAGGCAGTACAGATTTCAGCTGCAACTGGCACATTTTGCAGCAGGGCTTTAGGGCTGCTGGCCACCTTGTGTGTGTTTGCATGTTTATATGAAGCTGGTCCAACCACAAGGAGACAACCCAAGCTGGAAAGGCCGCAGGGTGCCCTCCCAGGCTGCCTGCTGGGCTCCGAGATGGGATCGATGGCCACCACGCGGTGGCCAGCAGCAGCTGTGCCACAGGAATGGGAATTCTTCCTGAAGCAGAGCGCACACAGCAGGGAAGAGCATAATCTGCTTGATTTACGGGCTGCGGCTCTAGTTTAAAATACATTAGGCTCCAACTATTTAATTACTGGGCACTACCAAATCACGGAGACAGAGGAGTCGGTCACGTCTGCTAATGCCAACATTTATCATCCTATTTATCTGTTCCAGCTTCTGAGAGCCATATCGAATCACTTCCCTCTATTAGCTAATAACATGCGAGTTTATTCCTCGTACCTCAGGGCGGCCCTCGATGGATATTACAGCACTGTTGGCAGCACACATCTACCTGGGGATAGATAAACCAGTTTAGAGCATATAAAGAACTGTAATCACCAGCCAGAACTGGCACCGCGACCCAAGCCCATTTCTCTGCTGTCCCTGCCCCAGGACATCAATTCCCACTGGGTAGCGACCAGAGCCTGGGCTCTTGGGCCACTGGAGGGGCTGGAAATTTCTGAAAAATCCTTGACTACCTACAGTTGTAGAAATCCTGCGTGGCAAGGCTAAGAAAACACAAATGAGCAGCAGTGCTGCAATGAGCACAGCATTTCGGGGGAATCACCTCTGCCCCTCACAAGGTCCCCGGGAAGAACTCAGATGCGATGCTGTCTTAATTGATAGCCTGGCCACTTGGGGAAGCAGTATCCATAGAAACTAAGGGGCCTCCACGAGCCAACAAACAACGCTGCAAGAGCCCAGTAATGGCAGAAATAATGAGGTGTGGCCAGAAAAAAAAGAAAAATCCAAGCAGGCATCTCACGGGATGGAATGGGTCGGCCCAGCCTAATGAAAGCCTCACGGGTAGCGGTGGGAGCAGAGCGTGACCAGAGGATGGAGGAGAAGAGCCCTTGTGTCAGGAATAACTCTCCCAGGAGCAGCTGGAGGGCATGGCAAAGGAGCTGAGAGATGTTTCAGTGTCCCCCCATCGCCTTGGGGACAGCGCTTTGGCCCATGGGGACACTGGGCAGTGGGACTCGTGTCCCAGGGCTGCTCTCAATGCCACGTTCCCACGCGCCGCAGCTGAGTGTCTCCCACCCGCACGCACAGCACGGCACTGGGAGGGAGCCCTGACCTCCTTCTTAATTAGCTTAAAACCGCGCAATTAAAGAAAAAGGGAAAAAATAGAAAAAAAACCCCCTCGGTAAAAGCCAGTCGCAAATCAAAAGAGGCAACAGCGAGAGCAAGCAATGTGTCACCACAAGTGTCCGAGTCAATGGAAACCTTGTTAGGTGGGGAACAAGGGTCTCCACTAACAAGCTCTTATCTGTGTTTTTGTTTTCTATTGAAGGTGCATGTCATTAGGAGAAGTGTTAACAAGGGCTCTCAATAGCTTCATATGGCCAATGGCCTCTGAATATTCATGAAGGTGCGAACAGAATGTGGGAAAGCCGGGGAAGAAAAGGCAAGAAAGGCAGCAAGAGGGTTCATTGTGCCCCAAAGAAAGGGCCTATTGCTCGGTGGGAAAAGGGCTCCCGAATCACTGGGACAACTGCGTATTCCCCGGGCAAAACCTGACCTCCAAGCTGCCAATGGGGGCCGATGAAGCCAAAGTTGTGGATTTTTTGAGTGGCGCTGGCAGGAAACCAATGCCATCACTTCAGGTGTTCAGCTGTGATTCTACTTTAAGAAATAGAAAGGCGAAGGTGCGCGTCCAGCCACTCCACCACCGCTGCACCGTGTGGAGGGGAATGGCAGCTGGGGAAAAAAAATAAATAGTGAAATTCCAAACACAATGGGAAAGAAAAAGGGCCCATGCCCTGCCAACGCCAGGCCTGCTGCTGCCTATGCCGGGAACGTTCCATCAGCACGGACACAGTCAGCACAAAGCGGGGCTGAGCCGAACGACACCAGGACTGCGTGGACAAGGATTGCCTGGAAGACAACAGGACAGTTTCCAGGAGTTCCCAACCGCTTTCCATTTCAAGCAGGTTTAAACTTTCCGACCGTAACGCTGTCAAACGCAAACGTGAAAGGCTTTAATTCAAAGTGATAACGCTCAGATTCTGCCTCTCCAGAATTTCGCTTGGCAGAGCAAATCTGCTGTTTGCTTTTGATCTGTTTCAGAGCAGAAAAAAAAACAACACTGAAACTGCGAATTCCCTGCAAAGTGCACAGCGTGGCTCCCAGCCAGCCGGGCTGCGCAGCGTGGGAGGAGCGCGAGCCCCCATCTGCAGGGACCCAAGCACAGCTCTGTCTGCCGGCTCAGCCTGAAAAAAGCCTGCGGGGAGGGAGATGCAGCTATTTGCTCTCCTGTACCATTTGCAGATTCGTTCTTTCTCTCGTAAGGTATGCAGAGGATTTATTTAGTGCATTAGTTCTTCCAGGAAAGATATTTCCGTTTTGCTGCTCCAGACCAGAATTATGAACTCCAAACATTAAAAATAGATTGTATTGACAAATTGCTGGTGTAGGATGGGACTGGGCCAGGACCAACACAGGGCAATGCTGAAAACTGGAGGGATGAACAGCTCTCATCATCACAAACCCCACACCAGGACCCTTCAATGCTCTCACGCAACAGGATTCCCCTTGTTGCAGCCAGGACACCAAGGACAAATTTGGAGCATAGTCCATATCCGGGACATGCCAGCAGCACAGCTGTAGGGGATTTGTTGGGTGTGTGGAGCCCAGCAGCAGTGTGGATGAAGCAGTGTTCTGCTGGCATGGAGGGCATTTTTGAGCTCCTTCCAGCAACGAGCAGCAGGAAGCACATCTATGCCCACCAGCTTGTCCAACTGCAAATGAAACCCGCTTCTAAACTGTGCAGGAAAACACTTTTTACTGCAGCCTGAAAAGGCTGAGAAGTGCTGCAGCAATGCCATGCAGGGGAACAAATGAGTCTCCATGGGAACCATGGTACCATTCCTCCCCAGCAGCCAAAGGAGCGGACTCAGAATGGGCCAGAAATGGGAGAAGTGGGGTCTCAAAAGCTCGAAGGGTTTGCAGCCTCTGTTAATGCCAGCCAATGGAGGTGCACAAGGAAGGGTAGGAGCCTTCAACCCCACAGCCACCAACCTGGCCTAGAAATAAGCACCACCCAAGATGGGATGCTCAGCAGCAGCAGTCTGCCTGCCCAGTGGGGCAGGTGCTCATCTGACAGCACGATGTGGAAACACGGGAGCCACCAGTCAAACATTCCCTGAGAATCACAGCTCTGTGGGCTCTGCTGCCTCACCTATCAGATCCAGGCACAGAACTGCAATCACCGCAGGAGTTCTTCTTATATTTACAACTGCACCAAAACCCAAAGGCCCAGGTCCTGCCCAGCCCTCTCAGATCTGCAGTTCAGTGAGCAGGAAGCCAAGAGCAGTGAGCTCAGCTTGCTCTGAGTCACACAGCCAGTCTGCTGCACAGCCGACACCTCCAGCTTCACTCTTTTCCACAGCAGCATCCCCTCCCTGCTCAGAACACAACAGTCCTGGCTGCTTTCCATCAGTCCTACTCAGGGCAAAGATCCCGAAACACATCGGATACAGGCTTTGCTCACTCAGAAGCAAACCCAATGCACAAACACAGATAAATGAGCTCTCATGTTTGCAAAGCTCTGAGCACTGAGCAAAAACCCAGGCAGCCTCCAGCACGCAGCACTCACACCATGGCCAGCACAGTGATTTCTGAAAAACCTCATCTGGGATGTGACCCATCTGGGATGAGAAGTTCATTCTGCCCTGCAAACTTCTCATCTCTAGGAGCACGTTTAGCCTCAATTCAGCTCAAATGTCTGCAGAAAGTCTATTTTAAAGAGAAATATTTGCTTCCACTGCATACCCAAAGGTACAGTCAGCTCAAGTGACAGCAATTAGTTAAGGAAGCAACTTCATAATTTATTCATCGTACAGATGAAAATCACCACCACCCAGAAGGTTTGCAGCAGTTCATTCAGCAGCACACAGGAGCACGTGAGGAAACCTTCCCCTCTGCTACCTGGTGGTGAGGATGCCTGCACATCCAGCTGAGGGGCAGCAGCCCTGTGGCTGCTCCAGAATTGGCCCTGGGCTGACATGATGCTCGTGGCCCAGCTTGTGCTGTATGATGGCTCCTGAACGCTACAGGGAAAGCTTTGCTATGTTATGGTAGGGTCTAAAACCCCAGAGGGAGATGCAGTGCATCATCACACTGCTGGTTACCAGCTCACTTCTGAGAGCCATCAGAATGAGTGCCCTGGGAAACCTGATCATGTGGGTGGCAACCCTACACACGACCAGGGGTTGGGACCAGGTCTTTCTAAGGTCCATTCCAAGCCAAGCCATGCCAAGAACAGGCAGCCCTGCTCTAAGAGTGAAAAGTCAGCAATAAACGAGTGACACAACTTGTTGAACATGACCACCCCGTGCCCTCCACCATCCGTTCTGGGTCAGCACTAAGCAGAACTGGGGCACCCATAAAGACCAATCACCTCAAGGCCCGTGAGGCCCAGCAGGAGGTGGCACGCATCCCCTCCTCTCTCCCACCTCACCACACAGGGCACCAGAGCCACGTCCCGCACTGTGCTGCGCCCACCCTGGGCAGCAAGGAAGGAATGTGCCCAGATCCACAGCCAAGGGCTGCTCCCAGCACACAGGAATGGGAAGAAGCAGGAGTGCGGTTATACCAAGCAAGTGCCTGAACTTCCTGTTTGTATCAATTAATCACAAGGGACAGGAAAAACCAGATGCTTTCACTAAATGCCCAACAAGTGCATGAAATGCACACGCACATTTTCCATCACTGCTGCTCTCCGCAGCACAAAGCAAGGAGATCTAATTATGCACAAACTCTACTAAATCAAGAAGAGAGACAGTTGAAAATGAGCGGGGGTGGGGGGGGAAGGGGAACCATTTAATTCAATTTATTTAGCAGCATCTTTATTGCCACAAAGGTTTTGTAATAAAAAGCAGCAAAACAAATGTCTCCACTTTACACGATTAAAAGCTAAGTCGCTAGAAAGGTGGGGGAGGGAGACCATAAACCCACTGGAGTGAGACATGCAGTTCTGTTAATGCAAACAGCAGGCACTTCTCCTAACATTAAAAACCTGAACTCTGTGCAGAACATCTACGTAAAAACCACGCCAAGAGCTCTCTGCGAAAGGACTGTCTGAAGACCCACGAGGGGTGCATGGAAGTCTTTGCAGGGCTCTGGTACTCCACTAAACAGGCAGTTCAAAGCAGTATCCTAATCCGGGCCGTTATTTCATTCACTTGTACTCTATTATTGCCTCATCAGAAGCCGAACGTCATGCCAGCAGCAGCAGCCTTCTGTACGGACACAGCAGAAGCACAACCCGGTGCTCCCCCCATGGAGTGGTGCTGGGACCCCATGGTGAAGCTGGGAAATCTCTGCAGTGCGTGGCACACGCTGTGCTTGGGGAGGAAGCAGCACCCATATCTCTGCTCAAAGTATTTCTCTCATTCCCCAAACAGAACTAGCAATAACCAGAGAATGCATTTTCCATTGCGATATAATGAAGCTAATTGATTTTCAAAGCTTTACATGAGGCTTGAATTCATTATTTCATTAACGAACATTTTGAAGTTAAGAGAGCTTACAAAAACTCAGCAGCTCTGGTTAATTACCAATTATATTTTGTTCTGAATAGAAGACCACTGGAAACCAAGGGACGGGGCAGGGAGTGCAATTCCTGTGTGAAGGGTGAAACCCCATTTGGCAAAATTCCTGAAGGCTGCCATAAGAAGGGACAGAGATTGGGCTCCCACAGAAACAACCTCAACAAATCCCAGCCACCGCCACTGCTGGCATCACCACCCAACTTCAGCACCACCGCTCAGATCCCCAGGTTTCTTGTATTCTTTGAGGTACGAGACGTTAAAACATTCATCTCCAAAGACATCAGTGCAACTGCTGGGAAGGAGCCAATGCCCACTGTGCAACGAAGGCTGCGTCTCCCTCCTGCTCAGCGCAGGTGCCTGCTGGGCACAGAGCACACTGCTGCATCCGACCCCCAGGCACCCATCCGTGCTCTGAGAGCCCTCGGCACCTCCCTACCTCAGTCTCAAAGCTCACACGAGGCATCTCTGACCAGAACTGCAAAGCTCTGCTGATAAATCCTCCCAGCACTTCTGCAGGATAAGAGAGCAGGGGGTCTTAAAGTGCTTGGCTGCTGTAAAAAGAAAAAACTTTTGTAGGAAAAAAAGAATGTGTTGCAAAATAGAGTACTTACAGTGCTTTGCACCTTAATAGCTTTTCAATAGGTATATTTAAAACAACAAAAAGATGTGTTATTTAAAAAGTTATATGTCAGCACTTACAATCCTGTGCTAAATCAAAATCCAGCCTGGTTTACTTGCATAACATTTAGTTCTTCAGTTGCCAAAGAAGCACTGCTTGATGAAGGTTTTTTGTTTTTTTTTTTTTTTCTTTTTTACACAAAAGGATCAATTTTGCCTTAAAAATCATAAACATTTACATTCAAGGGTACTCACCTCTAGAAAAAGAGCAGAAACACCCCAAAAGCAAGTTAAATATTGAACAAAATATAAACAACCTTGGAAAAGGTGATGCTATCCACGTGTAATTTTATACATATATGTATATATGAACAGATATAGATATATGTATATATCATACAGCATAAACATGTGAGGAACTGAAAAGAACTCCATCGTGACAGCTTTTACTTTTCTGTACTCCCTGCCACACTGCTCCAGACCAAAAGCTTCAGCACAATTACTCATCTCTCTGCACTGACTACAGCCCAGGTTCAGCCACAGTTCAGTTCTCAAAGAGGAGATGTCAGAAGGCCATGCCAGATCCCAGCAGCAAGGCTGTTACCGACCTGCTAAGGGGATTTCAACTCATCCACTGAAAAAACAGTGATCTGAAACCCCAATCCCCAAACTAAACGCTCCCACATCAGGGAAACGTACACCTACTGCATACCTGTTTGCTTTGGCTATCTTTTGCATAATCCCCAAGGCAAATCCTGTTCCCACATAACATTTCACACCCGTGTAACTGCAGTGGCTCTGCCAGTGTCAGCGCTCAGCAGCCTGACTGCAAAATGTGCAGTGTGATACAATACAATCAGATGGTGTTACATCCCAGAGTCTCATGGCCAAGCTGAACAGCACCACAGCGAGGAAAAGACAAGGGCACGTGTGGAGCACAAAGAGCATAAGTACTGAGAGGGATTCCATGTTTTGAAAAGATGAAAAGAAAAACCATGCTCAGCTTCTCTCTAGCACCAAAAAGGAAAGGAAAGGAAGTTCTTAGGTTTCTAAGAAAACCATTAAAACTTACAAGAGTCTCAGAGGCAGGTCCCAAGGGGAGAATTTCCTGGATTAAAGAGAATCATTTTGCCATGGATTTCTATCTCAAACAACTTGTTGCAAGTTTAAAGTAACTTCACATAAGACACTTTTTAGCCAAGCCTGCTGCTTAGTTAAAACCTCACTAACAAAAACACAACTGGGATTTCATCCTTTAGGCTTAGAGGGGTTACCTTAAGCTATGCAGAAGGGAGTTCTCAAACACAGCATCACAGTCATGCTATGCAGCAGTGCTGGAAATGACCTGGGACCAGAGGACTGAGCAGAGCCTGGGAAACAGTGCCTTGAATATAATCAGGAAATCCAATGGAGCAGCTCACACTGCCTGATGCGTAGTGTTCGTACGGTCTCTCCTCTCCAAATCCTCTGCAGACCCTTGAATCAGAGCGTTGGATCTCAGAACTGTAACAGGATGCATATATCTACATCATGCTGATGTGACAGTAAGAAAACAGTACTGCAAAAACAGCTCCAGAATGAACGTCAGGGAAAAATGTCAGCGAGGAACAGGCTGCACTTTTAAGCTTCTTTTAGAATTTACAAAGTCTCAGCAATTTGCCTTAAATTAGTTTGCATCCCAAATAAAAGATTGTTATGCTCACATCACAGTAAAACATCATTTCACTTCCCCAGGTGAAATCGAGTACAATCAGGATAGGATATCAATCTGCTGGAAGGAAAACCAGTACGACTTATCCTGAGAAGAAAAGCCATTTTTGAAAACAATCTGGCATCAGCTGAACTGAATCCAAAATTTAAAATCTTCTTAGGGCAGCTTAAAAGTGTTTCTCCTTAAAAAACAATCAGAAGCTGGATAGGGGACGTGTCTAACTTGGGACCAACTTCTCTGGAGTGAGACACATCCCGCTTAGGAAGCATAAAAGCTATACAATGACATTCAAAACGTAATGTACACATTGTAAGCATCCAGGTAAACTCCTGCTGTGTAGTGAGTAAACTTTCTAGTGTCAAGGAACACACTGTAAAAACACTGATTAGATCAGAGTCTTTTTAAAACGTGAAGATCTGGTGCTGTGGAAGTACTTTATCTTCAGTTGAGCTCCTCCCCCGAGAGAACACCCATGGTACTGCATTGCACTACAGACACTGGATTTTATTTACACCCTAAGCTTTAAGGTTATTAGGCCATCGTCCTTTAATTCCCTATATGGCACCAAATTTACTTTAAAAAAGTGTCTCTCTATGTATGAATGTGTGTGTACACGTGGCAGGCACCAAAATGCAAAGTTCTGTTGTTTTCTCTAGTTTCCTATCTCCTCATTCGGAACAGCAGCCAGCTGAGCAGAGTCCTGCAGAGGTGAGTTACATTGCCTTCAGGGCAGCAATGCGAGAGCCCAGATTCTCTTGCAGGTAATACAGTAGATGGAGTTCATAGTGCTCTCCCGACTCAGGCACCCTTATACTGTGCCTCTCCTGAGGGTAGATCTAAAATATAAAATAAAGTCATGAATACCCACAAAACTTTTGAGTGCCAACATTTAAACTGGTCCTGGAGTTCAAAACATGCGTGCCATCCCCATGCAGCAGCTCTGTCTGCACTTCAGCATCCCCTCCTCTACTTCCTGAGCCTGGAGACAACAACCTGCATCCTCTGATCCAGCTTGTGCTTAGCTGGATGCGACTCCTCGCTGAGCAGAAGCAGATCCTGCTTGGAGCCATCACGAACATCAGCGTGCTTCAGTTCTGCAGCACGATGCAGGGTACCTGGGCTACATCTGCACAGAACCAGCAGGGTTTCATTAATTACATAAGCCTGCTCTGTGCTGCACAGACACTGTAGTACTGCTTCCAAACTGTAGATCTCCTTGGGAGCAGCCTTCACTGCTCATTTACCTAGAAGTTGTTTGGTTTACTCATAAACCTTCCTTTAAAAAAAACACAGTAGGCTCAAATACTGGAGATTTACTCCAGAATCCCAAGCTGCCCAGAACAGACACAACACAAGCTTCTATTTGTACACCTCAAAGACAACACTTCATTTTCACATCCTCATTCTTGCCTTACCTGCAAGTCGTATGGCTTCCCAGCTCTCACTAAAAAGCTGAGCAAAATACTAGTGTGTGCAAAGTGAACGTTCTCATCCAAGAACCCATGTAGCAGCAGCAAACGGTTTGGTCTGAGGAAAGCAAGAGACAAACATTTCTAGATAGCATCCCAGAAGCTGCCACTCACTCCACAGTCCACAAACACTCCTTCCAAAAGAGCAAACAGTAAAAACGGCTGCACTGAAGAGAGTAACTTTGCTATTGAGAGCTGCCCTGGATGGACCTGCAGCTCGTCACAAACCCTCTCTTCCTCTACAAGCTCTTCCTGCACACGCACATAACAGTCACATCTTTTATCTGCACATTATCACTATTTTCAGAAACAATTCCTACCTTGGATAATTCAACAGCTTAACACTTGCTCAGAATCACTGCTGGTTTTCTGCTCTTTGGCAAGAAAGCCTGCAGCCTCAGCCTGCTCTGCAGACAACTCTGTGCTGACGCAGACTGAAAGCACGCAGAAAGCATGCTGATAAACTAACTTTTGTCTAGCTTACTGCGACTCTAAACTGCTAATCATATAACTGGAGATGTGTTTGTCATTTCTTTAGACATAAAAATAGTCTTAATTACAGCTAGGATAAAAGGAATTACTTGGAATGGTCCGTAATTATGCAAATGTTCATTCAAGTCTATTAAGCTCATTAGTGTTGTTTTTGTTTTAATACCAGCATTTATGATTCCGAGATTTAACTGCCAAGAACAGGAAATAAATAGTCTGCAGAACCAAACTTACTCAGAAGGAAACTTGTCAGCTTGCATGGCCACGGAACCCAGGTAGTAGCCCTGCTCGTTGTGCTCCGGGTGGCCCATGTAGCGCTCTGTGTAACCCGTGTCATAGAAAACCCACAGCGTCACGGGCGCTCCGGCGATGGCAACCTGCAAGTCAGCACGGCTCTCAGCACAGGGAAGGGATGACAACCCTGACACCTCGATCTGGGGACGTCCCTCCCTCCCTCATCGCTACCCCAGCGCTCAGGATACACGCTAGCGAGCTCTCCTTAGAGTCCACAGCAGTCCTTTCCACAGCTCGTGCATCTGCAGGCTTCAGCTACAGCCTATGTCCAGGCAGCTGCTAAAAGCAGGAAGATCCTATGGACAAATCGGGAGCAGCACTGAGCACACCTCCTGCAGGTCCTGCTGGAGGTAAGCAGACTTAATTCAAAACGTGGAGCGCCCTCCTTTGGGGTCACAGAACTTTGTATTAGAGCGTTTAACAGAAACTGGACTTAAGAGCTCCCTAGGACTCAGTAATCCCTCCTGCATACCTACCGACAGCATGCAGAGATGCTTGTGAGAAAAGACCAGTAAAAAACTAAACAAAATACAACTCGTTTCCAGTCAAGTATTTTTACATGATCATCCTTAAGGAGTTGTGAAAAGTAACGATTGAACCTCCCAGGAATACTGAGGTTGGATTTAGACAAAGCAAGGAGAACCACAAAGAGCAAACCGTGCTGAGAGCAATATTCAGCTCTCACCACATCTCTGCCTCTGACACTTGCCCAACAACAGTTTTGTCATTTACTGCAGTGTTCTCAAGTCATGTAAGCAGAAGCACCTCCTTCCAGCACCTCTCCCCACGGCCAGGTTGCCCCCCTGGCTGTTACAGAACACACTGTTACAAACCGATCTGGGAATAGATCAAGACTACAAAGAAACCATTCTCTTAGGACAGAAGGAGAGTAAAGAGGGAAGGAGGAAGAGATGGTGGTGCTGTTTCTCAGCGGGGTAATTTCCCTTGGTTGATTCACAGCACAAAGAGCTAAGCTGGCACAAAGCAGGCAAGAGTGACACTATATGAGGGACCTTCAGCACACGTGACCTCAGACTGGTAAAGCTACAGCAGCACTGTTACACTTCTGCAAGCTCAAAAGTCAATCAGCTTAAAGCTGTTCTACACAGCTCCAGAGAGGCAGCACCTTCTGTGTTCAGCTGAATGGGGTGAACAGTTGATTCTCCTCACCTCGGCTCACAAGAACTCTCAGATGTTTCAAGAAAACTGGCCTACCTGAACTGCCTCATACTCCTCTCACGTTACATTTCTTGGATACCCAAAAGCACCCTGCCCACATCAGCGCAGGAAGCCTCACAGACAGCACAGCACCTTCACATCAGGTCAGGATTATGTCAAGCTCACGTGGAGCTAAAGGAAGGAAGCACAGCGATGGTGCAGTCACACCAAATCGCCCTGAGGATGAAGGCTGCAAACTTGCATGGGGAGGTGGGAAAGAGCAGCACTTAATCTTACAAATGCAATCCAGTGTTATGAGGCATCTCTATTAGCATGACTTACTGGGGCTGCACAGGTCTCACTGTCTCTGTTTGAAAAGCTCAATCACCTGTCTGTTCCAGTACAGACTCAGTGTGAATACCAGCCCCAGACACCCCTGAAAACCCAACAGTGACAACAGGCTAACAGAGGAAGAGCATCTCGTCCCCACGCTACAGATGGAAACAAGTGCAGAGAACTGCTCTTGCACAGTATCCACTGAATGCTGGTTTAAAACTGCACAGTGACTTGTTGGAAAGCACTAGATTTAAAGTGTGAATAAATTTTAAGATCTATTTTCTGGAAGCATCAGAAGGCGAGCCAGTGTGTAATAAAAAAAGCCTAATTAGAAATCCTGTACAAGGAAGGTATTCTAAAAAAGCAGAACTTGCCTAACTAGAAAAAATCTCAATGGAAACAGGCAGAGCACTGCGTCTCACTGGTCTTTGTGCTGTGACCACCTGAGGGAGGTTACATTATTAGAGGAAACATTCTGTTTGCACCACCAGAATAAGTACTCAATGTACGAACATACCCTGAAGATATCTGACCTCTGCATTAAAGCCATAAGAGAGAGGTAGCCTCCATATGACCAGCCATGAATGCCAACACGATCCAAATCAATGAAGTCATACTGAGATGCCAAGTAGTGCAGCCCTTCCACTTGGTCATCAATTTCTATTTGCCCCTGGGAAGAGAGAGAAAAGGGAAGTTGTCAGACCCAGACAAAAGGCACATCTCATGATTTCTGAAAGTAACCAGCATTCATACCTTTGCTGCTTCTGTTTGTGCAGCAGCCATCCACACACCAGCACTCCACTGTACTAGGCACGTTACAGAGAGATGACTCCTTTCCTTCTTTAGACACACGCTAAGCCACCAGATAAAACCTGTATTTCTGGTGAGAGTCAGAGATCCTAGAATAGCTTGAGTTGGATTGGACCTTTATGATCTAGCTCCTTTACTAACAAGATTCCCCTTGCACGTGATAAGCTTGCAAACTCAAATCCTGACATTGTATCCATCCCACGCTGAGCACCTTTCCTCTCTCACATTCGTACTGCTCAACTACACACCGTTTCCCTCCCCAAACTAAGCAGCACTGCACAAACTATGTTGGATATCTGTGCCAGACTGGGACTTCAGCTCAGGTAACACCAGGATTCCAACCTGGCTCTGGCTGAAAATGAAGAACCAGACCCAGCTGGTCTACACTTACCATTTTGTATTTGAAGGCTCCTTCAAACTTCAGCCCTCGGTGGCAGGACCCCCTGTTGTCAATAACCACAACAACGTAGCCTAAAGAGGCCAAGGTGTTCAGTCGGAAATATTTGAGCCCTTTGAATCGATTGTTCACTAGCTGCACCTGGAACAGAAGGACAACGACACAGTCACCTATGTAATCAAAACTATTAATCCCATTTCAGGCTATTTTTATTTACTTCCCTTTCAGTGTTTTATACAGCTTTATAATGTAGATTTTTCAAAATCTCTCCTCCCAGCTGTAGGTCTCTACGAATTAAGCTCTGTTCCCTCAGTAAGAAGTCATTCTGTGTCATGGAAATGAAGGGTCCAAAGGCTCCACCCCACCACTCAGAAACACTGCACTCACCTGCGGGCCTCCGTAGATGAAGATCACAGTAGGGTACTTCTTCCCAGGTTGCAGATTGTGAGGTTTGTACATCATCCCATAGAGCGTAAACCCCGTGGAGCTCTCAAAGGAGAACACTTCTGGGGGAATGTAATCAGGAAGAGGGCCTGGGAAGGCACAAAGAGCCTGGATTAACAGGGAATGGACAGCTCTGCTCCAGCCCTGTCCCATCACCGTGCTGCTGCATCCTCAACAACACAGCTTCCCCACACTGCCCGTGGATGTGGTTGGGACCAGGCAGAGGCTGGGAATGCCCCAGACATATGGGAGCTTTCTCTGTCCTGTCACATACCCATTCCTCTTCTCCCCTGAATGCAGCAACAAGATGAAAAGTAACAGAATCACAGTGGAAAAATAAAAGCCTAAGAGCTGCCTCACAAAGACACCAGCAGACAGCAACACAGAACTGCCTCAGAAGCGTGCGGCCCTCCCCAGAGGCCCAGAAGCAAGCTTGTTAGCATGCATTTAGCTAAAAAGTAAACAAGCTCACTCAACTCCCCCCTACTGATGGTAAAACATGCTTTCTACTGGCAGTAGAAACTTAGCAATTTAAAAACTTAGAAACTTAGCACTCTAAATTCCTTCTTGGCCAGCTTATACTCATTTGTCATCGAGCTGAAAATGCCACTCCTCCACTTCCACGAACTTTTCACACAAGCGTGAGTTTCACAGGGAAGCCTAATTACCCACAACAGCAAATCTCAGATTAGACTCTGGGAAGTCTCACCCATCTTCCTGATTGTCTTTTTGCAGTTTCTTAACAATTCTGTTACCTGCTGAATCTAAAATCGTAGCCCAGAACTCCTTTGTCCTTTGAGCTGCATCATCTTCATGTCCTGTCAGCCGGTAAAGGGACACACAGTGTGGGTTCTTCTGATTGCTGTACTTGCTAATAAACATGTCACAATCCTAGAGAGAAAAAGTGTTATCTTGAACTCCTCAGTACAGAGGTACAAGTAAAAGGATCATTTTTTTCCTGTATTCATATCTTTTGGAAGACATTTAGGAACCAAATGAAACCAGGAAGTCTGTTCTGCAGTAAGAGTGATAGACTCTGAGAAGCCACAGTCCTCAGCAAGATTCAGGCACTGATGTTTGAAAACTAAAAATACACCTGCAAAACCAGCAGTGGCATGAGGACTTTGTCATACATTCCTCTCCAGGCAAAGCAGTTACAGCAGAGCAGGTTACTGCCCCAAATGCCTCCCCACAGGTTCACCTCCTCAGGGGACTTCTCAACAGCCCACTTCAGGCAAGAAAAGCCAGGCTTGGTTTCAAGCAATTCAACCTGCCTGAGCTCCTGTCAGAGCTGAAGAGCAACCTGGACCAGGAGGTCAGATCCAGTTTCCAGAGGTGGCCGCACGCTCACTGTACAACATTAAGCACACAGCACAGCGTAACATCGACTTCTGTTACACTGAAATACAACCCTGTCTGCTGATTGGTGAAGGACACGTTTGGCAATAAAACACAACACACCCAGGCAGCCCTGCCTATCCAGGCCTCGTGCAGATGGATACCTGGCTGACACAGCAGGCATGAGAGTAACCACGTTCTGTCAGTCGTTTTACTTCTCCGGGATTCTTGTAGTTAACAACATACAAGTGATGTTCTAAAGGAGAGTCTTTCGTGCCTTGAAAATACACCAGTTTTTTGGCTTCGTCTACATAGATCTGTCACAAACAAAAACAACACAAAACAAAAACAACATCCAGTTATGGCTGAAACAAAGCCATAAGGTCTTCTTTCCCCACCAAGTCTTCCCCCCCCCCACCGCTTCTATAATTTGGAGTTACTGTCCAGCAATCTGCAAGGAAGAAGCCAAATGCCAGCTGTCTTCCAGCATGCCTGCGTTGCTTGCAAGATATCCATGCAGCACGAGCAGAGACTTACATTGGACCCATGTCTGCCAAGCACTTCCCACTCCCCACTGGTAATGGCAATCTCCTCTTTGATGGGGCACTTGAAGTCACCTGCAAACACAGAGATTTTACACTCGCACATTTTACAGAACACACAGACACCACGACATTTCTTCTTTCCAAGCTTTTCTGCTAGACACAAGCCAAGAACAACGTGGCTTTGCAGAGGACCCGTAATCTCTGGCAACTCCGCAGACAAATGTCAGAGCTGGTACTACACATTCTGAGAGCTGTGCATTGAAGGATTCACAGGTACTCTCCAACTGACACCTGGATAGCTTTGATTCTTGCTTTTTTTAATATTGAAAAGGGTGCAAAGAGAATCTCCAGTGTCAAAAAAGGGGAATTTTGCTTTGGGCTGGGAAGCAGCTCTGCTTTTATAAAATGGCTTCATTTGCCTTGGAAGGAGGGAGACCTAGCAAGAAGAAGTAATTGGATACAATCATAGAAGTCTAATGAACCCAATCTAATGCTTTTTGGAAAAAACCCACACCAACAATTGCACTAAGCTGGGACCTACAGTAAAATTAGGTGCACTTCTTGTGCACGCAGAACTCAGCGAGTGCCTTCAACACACAACAAGTAAATTAAATATCACAGCATGAAACTGTAAATGAAAGAACACATACTGTGGAAAAAACATTCCAGGGGCTTTTGTGCACAGCTCCACCATGCAAACTCTGACTGCAGCTTGGAAGCACGTGGTCCTTGCATTGATTTCTTTTTTTTTTTTGCTTGGAATTACTCTTTCCGCATTTCCACTTACAACAGCTGTCAGTAATTTTCTCCTACTAACATCTCTGTCTATACAGCAATACCATGACTGTTTCTAAGAGCAGATAGGAATTCTCTGAATAGTTGCCATATCATAGGTTTTGCTGCCAAGCACATATGTTCATTTTAAAGGGACTAACAAGTGGGCCCCTGAGACAGGGAGGCCCTCTGCAGTTCTTTTTACAGCATGTTCAAACTGTGCTCTTTATCAGCCTCTGCTACGATCTGCTTGTAAAGGCTGACAGGAACTACGCTGTTTTCACTTCCAAAACCAAGTCTTGAACACCTATTAGATACACTGGACCTTCAGATCAGAGATAGCCACGTTATTGCTGTAATGATTAACCCACTGCAGTCAGGAAGTAAACAACCCCATCACTGTCAACTCAGTGCATGTCACAGCACCACAGGGAAGCCCATCTGGCATCTGATTTTTTGAAACTTTTACCTCCAGTCAGCAAGGAAAAATCAGGGTTAAAATGAAGGCGTGCTGCACACAGAATAACCCCCTTACAATTTCAAGAGGAATGACTGTGCAGTGAAGGGCTTCTCAGGAATCAACAGGAGTTTCTAGTGATTCCTGCCACCCAGAAGGACATTCATTTCCTCACCAGTCAGCAGCAAATGCCCAATTAAAGCAAGAGAATAAACTCACTCACTTGGAGCAGGGAGTCCTCCAGATGACCGTTTATATTTGCTCTCCTTCAAAATTGAAACAATTTTGTATAGGTGTCTGAATCCTGTTTTACACTCGGAGGCAAAAATGAACTCTATCTCATCTTCATGGGTTTGAGGGAAAACATAGAAGATATCATGGATCTGCGGAGACAGAACAGCACGTTGCTGTTATCAGCAGGACTTTGGCACTGAAGTCACACATGAACACCTCTAACTGCCCAGCACAGGTTACACCAGCAGGCTGCAGCACAGTGTCCCTTACTGGCAGAACAAATAATGCATAAGAGCCATGAGGTGTCTGCAAACAGCAGCCACATGCTGCACAGCTCCAGGCTTCTTGATAGCCTATACCCTGGCCACAGAATGAATTAAGTTTTTTTGCAGCTGCCTTTCTAGCTTGTATACAGAGGTGAGTCCAGCTCTGCAGACAGCATACAAAGGCCAACCAAAATAAGACAGGGTTTGGTGGCCACCTCTGCCAGGTGCTGTCTAGAAGTCCATAAGGGCTATTTAGAGAAAGATGAACTGACATCATCTTCCCACTCATAAAGATGCCAGCTCTTGCTTCAAGTGACAATCGTTTGAAGCATCAGAAGCACTTATATGCACAATAAGTGCTGCTAGTCAAAAACAACTCCAGCCAGAAAAATAACAGAGAAAAGACAACATACTGCACCATCCTGAAACCATGCACACTACTACTAAAAAGAAATTACAGTACTACAGAGCACTCATTGTACAGAAACCATTTACTGGAAGGCTCTGTGCCCACACTCAGCTGAAAGATGCAACTACCACCAGTGATTGACATTCTCAGGCTCTCCTGCACCCTGGTACACCCCCAGCAGGATGCCTCTTTGGAGATCAGCACAAGCAGGAACAGCACTCCTTCCTACACCGTGAGCCCAGCACACCTGTGTGCAGGCTCACAGAGCTCAGGCCCTGTAGAATACCTCCACAAGCAATACATAGGGATCCATTTCACCAGAATATGTGTGGTTAAGGAGGATTTTCAGTGACTGTTAGCTGATTCCTGAGACACGTTCCCCCACTGCCACCTAGATACATCTTCACTGGCTGAAGAATACTTCACCTGCTGGGACTGCTTCTGGCAAACAAAAGTACAAAGAAGCTGGAGGACAGTGGGTAACACTGTGGGAATGGGGCCATCCTGGAACAGCAGTGTCCTGGGCTCTGTTCTTAGCTCTCTGATCACCTAGCAGCCTCAAGCAAAGCAGCGCTGCTTTCACATCACACATCTTTTTGCCCTCTACACGTTATGAGCCCTTTAGAGCAGCTCTCTGCCAGAAACAGGCACAGAACTTGGACAACAGGAATATTGTCCTCGGCAGCACAGCACAGCAACATCAACTTTGCCCAAGTGCTGCACACGGGGTCTTGAACAACAAACTGTCAGACAAGGCTGAAATTCAAATTCTTACATTTATCCATATGTCTGTTGTTTCCTCATAAATAATTAAAGGTGTAACAGAATCCGGTACGGCGTCGATAAGTTTCTGCCTTTCCATTGCATCATATTCTACTGGGATGAATAATGCAGGGGGAATCAAGACGATCTGCAGTCGAGTCTGGGAACGATCCAGTAAGATGGACCAAATGCTGGTGAGAAGACAGATATTAGAGAAAACAGCATACAACAATGAACAGTAGAGAGATCTGAAAAACCTCAAAAGCAGCACATTACCACAAGGCATTTCGGGGGAGTCAAGAATGTTTGGCTTCAGATTAAGCAAAAAAGCCACATGTAAAATCTCACCCACAAAAACAAACCTCTTCCATAACTATTTCTCTTCATTTCAATATTGCATAAGCACTGGTGGTTGAAAAGTTTAATTAATTCTATTCCCCCAGATTTGGATTGTGCTTTAAAGGAGAAAGAGAAGAGAAAAATCAGAGGGAATAACGAAGAAGAGGAATAACCAGTGTTTCAGGATACTCGTCAAAATATTAATGTTTTAAATCTGTACCTGGCAGAGAGTAATACTGGCACCTAAATGAACTGCCAGCAGACCCTGCCATACTTCTGATGACTTTACATGTAGCTCTAATAATAATCCTGAAAAAAAGCAAGACAATGGAACAAATGTGTCCCTGCATTTCTTCCACATTCGAAAAAAATAAATAAAGTGAAATCTTTAGATTCAAGAACTGGAGAAGTGCAACTCTGGAGATGCTTCTGGTGAATTAGAAACACTGCACTACATCATCTACAAGGTTAAAAATGACATGCAAATGTAAGTAGCACTTATAGCAGGTTTTCTGATCAGTAACTCTGGTCAGTAAGGACACTCCAGAGGTGAGGGTGGTAGCCTGGGGGACCTGGGCTCATTTCTGTCCTCAGCCATAGACTTGCTGTGTGACTATGGCAAGTCACTTAGCCTCTCTGGGCCTCAGTTCCCCATCTGCAAAATGGGGATAACAGCAATGCACTCTGTCTCACAGGGATGCTGGGAGGACACAGACATCAAAGGCTGTGAGTGCCTATCCCCAGGCAGTAGGGCCAGGCGTCAGAGGAGGTAAGGACTGTTTGGTTTTGGAGAAGCTGCCTTCTTTACGCAAATGTATTTGTAGCAAAGGGAAAATGAAAGAAGGCTTCAGCTCAAGGAAGACAAAGACCGCTACGTTCTGCTTCTAGCTGCACTGCCCAGACCCTCTAAGCAGAGACAGGATTAACATACGCACTATTTTCCTTCTGGCGTCCACCCAGCTCTAGCAATGTACTCCACTCCTTCAAAGAGGATCTCGAACGGCTGAACCAGCTCTTTATCCACAACACCTGCAATCTGTTGACAAAGGAGTAATTCAGTGACTGACATTGACTGAGATGAACCCACACAATCAGTTTTCCTGCACGATGAGAGCTGGACACAGCAGACTTCTTCTGCGCAGCTTAAGCAATTTAGATTGTTTTGTCCTTTCAGTGCAGGGTATTCACCCCACCTGTAGCCAGACACCAGAATATTAGTAGAGCTGCTCACTACCAGCACAGCAAGGGCTGGGACTTGAGGAATACAGATTCTGCTCACAAATCCATCACGTGCCTTGCCTAAGATACTTAAAGGATCAGTTTCCCCATGTTAAATACAAAGGGAAGGTGATTTGTACCAAGCTTATTTGTGAAGAGTTTTTGTTGCTGTATGTTGAACATTCTGCATGGCATCCAGTTATCAATATGGTTCTAATTGATACACAGCTCTGCAGCTTGCCCCTGCTGGGACAAATCGCAGTGGTACCCCAAGGATCCTGGCAGCTTTCCCTGACTGCTGGTTCACATCAGCACCGCTGTCCCAGCAGGTGAGTGTTGATGAGCTCAGGAGCAGACAGGATCCAACAATGTATGGAGGTTAATGTATCTGTTTGGTAAGATTAATTCCCCAATTGTCCAAAGACCTTGGATTGGCCTATGGAAATTTCTGCATTTGTTCAAAATTCCTGGAGTGAAAGCAAAGCTCATCTTTTCCCACAGTTCATGCTTTTATAAGGTGATACATTCTCTTCGCAATCAGTTTTTTTCCATCGTCTGCAGCCAAGCAATCAAGACATCTGTCACATAGCAAAGCCTAACCATTCACACCTAAAATGCTCTGCTCTGCAGCTGAGTTCATCAAACAGTCCTTGAGAAACACTGCTGAACACAAGGAAGGAGCCAAGTGCATTGCCTCCAGGTAAGCCACTGAGCTAACACAACAAAGAAAGTTCAGTTATGCTGAAAAGGAAAGCGGTTTTTACCAAGAAGAGTCACAGAAATCAAATTTAACTTGGGAACAAGGGGAACATGGAACTTACTCTTCCTTCTTCATTGATCACCACTTCAGAAATCTTGAAAGTGACCTTTGGATTTGCTGTACCTACAAAAACAGATGTTAGCAGTCAGGCACAAACTGTTTGCTTCCAAGAGGGCAGGCCTGAACTGTGGATTACTGCGTTGTTATTTGTACAGAACTGGAACAGGAAAAAAGCAGAACACTCTTTGGTCAAATAGCCTGCTTGCACATATTAGAGAACCAGACACAGAAAAAAGAGACTACAGACACACAGCAGAATTGGTGGATGTAATGCCACAAACAGCTCTGATCAAGGAGCTATGCTACTGTCAGTCAGTTTGCTCTCCCACAGACAAAGCATGCATGCACCACCTGGACAGCAAAGCAAGCTTTGGTTTACTGTTTGGCTGATATTGAATAAAAAGCAGAGCAATACTTTTCTGTGCTGGACAGTGAAAATCCACCTAGCCCTCCATACAAAGCCTGAACAACACAGATGTACAGCACCTGCAGCGCTGAGGGCCTGCTGCACAGCAGAGGTGAAGGATAAAGAGTAAAGTTGTGTCAGTCTAGGCAGCTCCATCTAGCAGCTTCCACATAGTTTTAATATTCTCAATGCTGCTTTCACTTTATCAACTCACAAAAACTGACGCACTGAGGTGGAATGACTTGCTTTAAGCCACAGTTCTGGCTTACTGAAGTACTCGTCTTCACCCTGGTAACAAACCACCTCAAGCTTTGCCCTTATAGCAACCCAAAAAAGCCTACTGCCTACGTGGTTCTGACTGGAAACTGAGGACAGAGATTAAAACACATTTGTTTGTTTTCAAGGCATTTAAGGCTTTGGCTGCCTGGTTTTCCTACGCTGCTTAGATTCAGCACTTAATAAAAGTATAATAAAACACCCTCACAAAATCTAAGTGTACCCTAGCACTGGAAAACATGAAGTCACCTCTTGCTTTGCAGGCTAACATGGCCCCTCCTGCTCCTTAAAAGGAGCAGTAAATCAGAATCATAAGCAGGAAACTCTTGCCAAAGGATTAGGGCAATTACAAGACCTGATAATAAAAACAGATAAAAAGATTTCAGGAGTAAGAAAGAAACGAACTACTTTCACAATGTGATCAACATGTCCTGCAAAAACAGCAGCGAAATCTCAGAAGAGCAAGGGTCAGCTTGCTCAAACTTGCCCTATACACCTGGCACAGCACAGTGCACTGCACAGCAGGACTGCAGAAGTCTCATTGGCTCCAGCCTGCCCTCGTTCCTTTACTGCTGAAGCCTTTGCATCACTCACTGTTTGAAAATGGCAGCAGAGGCTTTCCCTCATAGTCTGTAAACAAACATAATTTTCCAAGTCCGAAAGCATTTGTGGAGATCAGAGCCCTTTAGAGCTACCAGGGCACTGCCAGCAGCTAGCAGGATGCCTCCCCCTGGGAAAATCAAAATGCTGTCATTCTGCAGCTATTCCCTCAGAGACACCGGGCTGTAACAGGAACCAGCTTCTCTGTGCCAGGATCTGAGACAGCAGCTCCAAAATAGCGACAATCAGGTAGGGTTTCTGCCAACTTCTGAGGGACCCAGACTGAGTTCTTAGTAACCTCATGGCTGGAAAATCAACACAGGCACCAGTGACTAATCAAACCTCCAGGGCAGAAGTTTTTCCACATACATCTCTGCTACCTGAGCACTAATTCCAGGACCACACGTCATGCCCACAACAACGCCCTGCTCTATCACCAGCGTAAGGCACACGGAATAAAATAAGCATCTCCCAGAAATGGAGATGCAAGGTCATCTGGGTCTCACCAGTTTTGGGGTACCGGAAGGAATCTGTTCTTCTTGTCTCCAGCATGGGTGATGTGACATGAATGATTTCCACTTCTGACTCATCGTTTTCTTCATAAAGAATTCGAAGAACTTTACCCCCATTCAGTGCTGTAAAGGAATTAACATTTTCTGATCAGAGCAGCTCTCAAAATCGGTTATTGCAGACACCAGTGCTTCCCTAGGAGAACACGGAGGCTGAAAGAATGAAGGAATGTCTGTGACTCTCGTTTCATTACACAAAATGCACCAAGTCTCATGCAATTCCTATCACTGTTGTGAGAAGGAAAGTTTCTTCCCCCAGTAGCTCAGGCTAACGAGGGCACCTTAACACATCCACCACTGCAGACACTTATAGCTCTTCTTGAACTATAAGGTTCCTATCCAAAGACAAGAAATAACTTTCCCTAGACAGCACAGCACAGGGGCAACTACTTGTGCCTGTCAGACACACTGTGTCCAACACACTTACTTGGCTCTGCCTTTGGACTCCACCAATAGCCAGTGTATCTGTCAAACTCCTCCTGCAGCACAAAAGTAGCCACGCCAGCAGACTTTGGATCTTCCTCAACACTGGCAAGTTCTCAAGAAGAAAAAAAAAAGAAAAAAAAAAAAGACACAAAAGAATTAGTTCATGATGTACTGCAGAATCGAATCAGCTCTGCATTATCCCAAACGCAGCCTATGTTCAGTCTCTGGAGAACAATGACATGATAGCAAATCTGGCTTCTCAGCAGAACTGCTTTCACCCCACTCTGTTGATTTATCTGGGGAAGACCTAATCCTCTCCGACACAGCAGCCTCTTTTAGGAAAGAAAAGCCTCATCTTCCTTTCTTACTCCTACCCAATTAGTCTCTCAGTTTTCCATGCACTCATCCAAGAAAGAAAATGTTCTCTCTACCTGAGCTCAGCAAATTGGAACCACAAGTTTTAAGGAAATTAAAGCAAAAAAATCCTGAGAACTGACACCGAAAGTACCAACATTCAGAAAAAATTACCAGCATTTCATTCAGTTTACAGGCTGAAAGGAACAGACTTACATAACATCTCAACCCTATCCATAGGGCTTCAATATTTTTCCTGTTACCCTGGAGGTAACTTAGCAGCGCTCCATAAATAATTATCATCTGAGAAGGAGTCATTGCTATAGTTTATTTTTAATGTACTTACATAATATTTTAATAACTAACTTTCAAATAAGCTCAAGTATTATTGTAAAGTGTCAAAAATTTTGATTTGGTTACAAATCTAATGATGCAGTTTCAGTACAAGCAGCATGCTTCAATTGCAAAATGCAATGGATTTTAAGAAGCTGTTTACCCACAGTTTTCCATTTCCCTTCCCTGGGATACAAGTCTAAATCAGACCTGGAGAGGGGTAGAAGCACAAACCTAAGAGACTGAGGATGAGGGCACCAGCAGAAGCCACAGTGCTATTCAGAAACTCTATATTGTCTCTAAAAAGCCCTGCAGCCTGACTTCGCTGGCAGAAACTTTCCCCCAGCTCTATTCCACCCACAGCTACTCCACACAAAAACGACTGTTCTAGTACATAAAAAGAATATGTGATTCAGGAGAAGTCTTTCCATATGTATTCAACAAATAACTCATCCTGCCAGATTCTGGTTTTCCCAGTGGACCCAGGAAAAGAATTTTCCTGCAGCATTTGCATCGGAGAAAACATACAGAACATGACAACCAAACCCCAGATGAAGTAAACAGTTGCCATTCCCTCAGATCTCAGGGGATAACTTAGTGCCATTACTTAATTCAGTAGAGCAAGAACAAGTGCAGAGGAGGTGCAGAGATTTTAATTCAGGACGAATTACCATTGTGCACAAATGTTAGCCTCCTTTCTTCTCTGGTTTCTATATTAGATATCCAGATGTCATTGCTATGGATAAAGGCAATCCAATTTGGATCAGCTGGACAAAGCTTAGGATCCATCCGGATATTTGGACAACCGGTCTCTACCAGAACGGGTCTTAAAGGCTGTTGCTGATTGAAAGAAGAAAAAAAGAATAGTAAGTAGTGAAACAGTCACTGACCTAGATTACCAGAAGGTCTCTACGACCACAGCAATGTGCTTGCTGACTTCAAACACACAGGTTTACAAGAGAGCAATCTCTACAATTTCCAAAATACAGAAAAATATCAGCAGATACTTTATAGGGAAAGTTGTGCTTCCACCATCTTGAACAGTTCCACCAAGGCCTCTTTCACCAGTGCTGAGAATTAACTGCAAATCAGAAGACAGCTTGCCTACAGAAGCCTGGCACACCTAAAAATTGACAGGCAGAACAGACAGAAATCTTGTTCTCCAAAACCAACTCGAGATACAGTAACAGCTGGGTTAGGCAAACATCAAGCATCTCCTGTATCAACAAGAAATGGTTTCAGCTTTCAAATCCAGCATTAGCACAAGAAAGGAGTAAAGGCTGCTTGTTCACAGAATCACAGAATCACAGAATTGTAGGGGTTGGAAGGGACCTCCAGAGATCATCGAGTCCAACCCCCACACACAGTTCACAAAGTTCTACAGCCAAATCCTGTAACACATACAGTACTGACTGCTGAACAGTGACCTCTAAACCACAGTTTGGGAACAAAAGCTGCCTCTGATATGACTTCGGAGTAAATGGAAGAGCAGAGCACCACAGGCTTCACGTCCCTTTTTATTGGTAAAATAAAATTCAGAAAGTCTAGTGACTTGCCTTGCCACCAGAGATTCTACCATTTCTTTTTAATTCTCCATCCAACTTTCTGTAACCATGGCAATGCATCCCTAAGGAGGACTTCTCCACGTTTCGAGGTTGGTTAAGGCCGCTTGCCCCTCCAGTGCAACTTGCCATGGCAGTGCAGCAATAGCTGAACCTCACATTCTGCTTTCACTAGGAAGCAAAGGAGCTTCCAGCCAGAGGCAGGAGGTACTGTGCAAGACAGAGAGATGAATAAACTCACAGTGAATCCATGAGGGCCTCCATCTTTCACATGATAAATTCCACTCCCAGCCTGAAACAGGAAGGTGCCGCTCTCGCGGTGGTAGTCGTAGCAGGCAATCCCAACAGTGCCAATCCGCTTCCTCTCCCGCAGCAACTCCTCTTCCCGAGAGTACATACCGTAGTCCAGGATGGCCTGAACATGGGCAGAGAAGCACAATCAACACCTCTGCTCTGCATTTGCTACAATACTGTCAGAGCATCTCTGCACGCCAAGCTTCCAGGACCAGATGGCTGTGCAGACACCCTCCTCCTCCAGAATCCTGCTGACAGCCAGGAGCTCCTGCTTGTGCTTCTGCTGCAAGAACTTGTAGGTGCATTCCTCGACCATATCCTACAGAAGTGGGAACCTGAGAGCCACTTCTCCCATAGTAAGGCTGGCATTATTTCCAGTGTACGCTGGTATGAGAAAGATCAGACAGAAGGTCTATTATTTCTAGAATGAGTAGGACAGCCTCCACCAACTTTTGCAAAGATACATGGTGACCGGTCTGGTGGGAGGAAAGCACAGCATGAGTTTTATGTCTGGCTGACAGCCTCAGGAAGCAACATGGGGAAACAACACACCTAATTCCACACAGGAAATATCCTGCCTCCCTCAACCTGCTATGGTGCTCGGAGGTGAGAAGAGGACACACAACCTAGAGTGGAAAAGAGATTTCTTGCTTCAGCCTGAGTCACAGAGCCACTGACAGGTCAATGGGGAGACTCATTGCTTCCCCCTGCAAGACAGTGATTACTGGAGACTGCAGGCTCCTTCAGCAATGCCCAGGATCTCAAAGCAGAGAATGTGATGCAAATTAGCACTTGTAATCTCTGCTGGCAAAGGACAAATCAAACACATACACTCAGCTTTCATGATGCACACAGGCTGTAGCTCCAAAAACTGAAGAGAAAATTATGCTTGTTTTTGAGATGGTCGCAGAGTTAACCAATTACAAAGAGAAGCTTGAAGTGTTTAAGACCACAGTAACGGCTTATAGGTGCAACCTCAAAGCCTTGCTGTGTTGCTAAGATGTAAGAAAAAAATCAGGACCCACCGGGAAAAGATCCAAGAGGGGCTTCCAGGAAAGCAACAGGACAGCAGCTTTGTTCACAGTTTTTGGAATTTCAGAGTAGAAGAGTGTGTTCTCTCTATTCTCCCCAGACATTGCTGTTGTCAAAAAGGAAAGAAACAAAGTACATTAGTTTCCTATTAATAATTCCAACACTCTCAAAAGATGCTAAAAAACAGCTTCACAGGCATTCCTACCAAAGGAAGCACTGACAGTCTCTACAGTGCAGCCTTGCACTGAGAAGTCCCCACTTCTCAGAAATGCAAGTCACAGGGAAGGTGAAGAACAAAGAACTACAGTCAGGCTTACTACACGCTGCTTGAAGAATAACTTTGTCTTGTTGAAGGTCAGGGATCTTTTTATTTTATAAGCTTTTAAGTTCAGAAAGGTCTGCTCTGTTATTTCGCCTGGCTGGAGTGCAGCACGATGCAGCTTATGTTTCAAAGATGATGCACCTTCAGGAAGGTTTGAATGCCTCCTTCCTGTTCATCTCTCTCTGTGCTACTCAGATTTCTGACAGCTCTTGCCAAGGCATTTGGGGACCAACCAGAGGGAATCAGGTGCGCACAGAGGAACGGTCAAATCCAAACCATCTCTGCAGTGACTGTTTAGTCAAGGCACAGGCTGAGCCAGCAAACTTACCCAGATAGTAAATCCTATCAGAATGAGGTCCTTCGGGATCATTTTTCTTAACAAACGTGAAGTCATGTGGGGCTTTTGCCATCATATATCCATGATACTTTCGTGTATCTGTGAGCAGTTTCCGAAGCTGGCTCCAGGAATGTCTCTCTACATAGAAAGGTTCAGGTTTTGGCTGCTCCTCTCTCTGCACCTGCTCCTCACAGCCCGTGGTTTCAAAGACTTCGAGGCCTGGCTGTTCAGTTTCCATGGCTGCTGCCATGTTGCATGTTTCTGGAAAAGAAAAAACACCAGAAGGTCAGCACTCCTTTCCAGCCAAAGTTCACATCAGACTCCAAAAACACAATACAGCAAAAATGCTACGAGAAACCTGCTATTTCACATGGAAAATCTGAAAGGAAAAGGAGATGCATTTCTGCTATGGAAAACAGGCTGTCATTGCTCAGCCTTTCAGAACAAAGCTAATAATTTTATAGATCCACATAGACTTATTAGTGTTTGCCTCTTTATCTTAATACCTCTCAATTGCTCAGTTCAATAAATCCTTCCCTGTTAAGTTCAAACTTCATTCTTCCACCCTGTGAACGGCAAAACTAGCTTGATACATTGATGGGGGCTTCTTGAAAGGGCGGGGGCTTCTTGAAAGGGCGGCGGGGTCGGTGCGCGGCCCGGCTGGGTTGGGGGGGGAGGAAACGCGGCTCGCCATGGAGCGGCCCTACTGGAGGAGCTCGGCTTGGGGAGGGAAGGCCCCGCGGAAGAAGCGGCGTTCGTCCCCGCTGCCCGGCGAGCTGCCCACCGCGGGGCGCTCCGGGGCGGCGCAGTGCCGGCGGCGGCTGTTCGGCAGCGTGCGGCGCGGGGAGCCGCAGCCCGGCTGCCCAAAGGGAAAATGTGCTGTGAAAACCTTACCAAAAATCAAGGAGAATCTTGAAGTCACCCAAGGGAGCCCCTCCTCCAACCAAAGTTATAGCACTCAAGTGAATGTGAAAGAAATGCCATTCTTGGGAAAGAATGAAGAGGATGTGGAAGGCAGCACGGTACTGCTGAAGGAATCTCCAGTAATCAACTTTGAAAGTAAAGAGAGCCTGAAAAACACTGATGTTACTTCAGGCACAGGGATGACTCTTCCTACAGGTGTTTCAGATTTTCTCCTCGAATGTTTAGATGCAGATTCTTCTGCAGATCGTGACACAGTTGCTACTGACACCACAGAAAGTTTCCCATCCCCTGAAACGTTAAGAGACGAGGAACGTTCAGGGGCAAGTAATCCTGACTTCGAGGACTTTGTGAAATGCAAGAACTCCACTCTTCTGGACTGCAGCAGAGCAGTGGCCATAGATAAGATACTACAGATCTCAAATCTTTCACCAATATTAGAACCTGTATTGGAAGATTGTAAAGACCAGTGCATAAAAAGAAAGAGACCCAAATGCAATTACAGTTCTTCAGAACTGAGTGTTTCAACTACTGTGGCAGGGAAAAAAATCTGTAAAATTACAACTGCAAGAGAGAGAACTCCAGCCCTAAAAAGTGGCACGTGCTGTTCTTCACCAGTAGGAGCGGAAAGAAAGCCTGACAGTCGGACTGCTGAACCCAAAAGGCTGAAGAGCATCAGAAAAGAAGAGTTGTCTGATCTGTTAGAAGGTAATGCATCACCTTGTGGTCGGCTTGAATCTGCCCCAGCAGAAGCTTCAGCCAAATCAGTGAAGGTGACAACAGAGGTTCTGCCCTCTGGACAGACAGATGATGCAGTGGGCATGAGACAAAAAAGTGAACACTTGAAATTCAGTACTTCAGCTCTAAAACCTGTTAATTACTTTCAATGGAGTTGTCACGAAGCAGGGTGGTGTACCAAGAGAATACTGTAGGAACAATACAGCAAGCATCTGATCTGGAATGCCTCTGTCTTATCAAATAAGTTTTGCAACACTGATCATGGAGAAGAATAAGTGTCCTAGATGTGTCTATCCTGATGTGCATTTCTGGTGATTAAAACCGAACCAATCAGTCTTCATTGTGCAATCTAATTCTGGCTGTTCTTATGGTACAGTTTATATCAGAATAAAGGCTAATTAGGACTGTATCAAGAGCTGGGACAGCCAACTGCTTAGCAGATACAGTATTTGAAGTTGATTCTGAACCTACTGGCCATACACAACGGGGCTGGGCAACCATCATTCTCCTGTAATTTCTCCTTTCAAACAAAGCTGTGAAGGGTCTAGCAATACCATCACAATGATACCATCTACAAGCACATAATTACAATTTCTGAACAGATTCTTCCAAAAGCATGAGGCCATACAGGAAGGTGACCCAGTGAAATGAGTGTTTTCCAAACTGACTGACTGATCTTACCCTCCTGAACAGGTTGTTCAGTTAGCAGATATTTCTCCCTGAAGTTAGCCGTGCTTTACAAAGCATATCTAAGCTAGACAAAACAGCCCAGAGATCTGGCAGTAGGAAACCATAAATCCAAGATCTGAGTGCAGCTCCAAAAGGATCCCAGCTATAAACTCCTACACATAATTCATTAACAAAGACAGCAAGGCGTGACGATTGTCAATCCTCAAAGGCAGCTTGTTTTTTCTATATATAAAATGGAAAGGCTGCACAACTGTTTGACACGCTGCTATAGAACAGGCAGAGCTTGCTGGTTTGAGCTTGCCAAAGACAATAATGAAAAACAAACCGAGCACCTGCATTCAGCAAACAGGCACTAAAGGGCCAAAGAATTTCAAGGCATGGGCTTGGCCAGCACAGCTACCCGAGATAAAGCTCCCTGATGGACCGGCTGCTCCTGCTGCTCTTCACAGATGAGCAGAAGAGATTGCATGCAACTTGGATCTAGCCTGTTTTAACACAGAACACCAACAGCAGAGCAGGGCAAGTCTCAATCAAAAGCATGTTTGCAATTCTGCAAATCCAAACACAACAAAGGGAGGCACTTCTTCTGTCTTACGACATTTACAACACAAAAACAAATCAAAATGTAAACCTTGTAAGACTGAAAGGCCATCCCAGCCCCACACAGCACAGCGCTCTGCTCAAACTGAGCTAAAAACCGGGCAAAAGGCTTCATCTGAATAAAAAAAAAAAACACCAAAAACTTTCAGCTACTTCACAGAATTCCAACAAAGAAAAATCTCCTCTCCCCACCTACACGCAGATGCCAGTATGCCTCAACCCGACCTACTTCTCAGACACCCCTCCCAAGAAAAGCAGGAAACGAAGAGCGGCGGCCTTAAGAAGCAACCTGGCACGGACGGCAAAGGCACGGCAGCCCGGGCTTAGCGCGAGGATCTGCCCGAGATCGCTGCCGCCTCGTTCTGCCACGGAACGCACCGTCCTTACGGGCGAGCTCCAGCACTACCGCAGCGCAGGGCCGTGCCGGAGGGGCAGACGGGCCCGGAGCGGGGCGAGCAGCCGCGGGGCTGCCCGAGCGGCCGGAGGAAACGGGCAGAGCCCGGGAGGAGCCGCCAGCCACGGTGCGGCGGGCAGGCCCGGCCGAGGGCAGCGAGCCGAGCAGCCCGGGGACAAATCCCCCACCTTCTCCAGGCTCGGTGCCCCTCCAGTGCTACCGGCGGTTCCCCGCAGGGCGTCCCCGAGAACGCCGGCTGCCGTCCGGCCCCGCTGCTCACGGCGCTCCGCGGCTGCGATGCTGCCCAGCCGCCCCGCCGGGCGCTTCCGCTTCCGCCAGATGGGCCGCCGGGCTGCTCGGCTACGACGCGCGCCCCCTGTCGGCGTGGAGGAAACGACACGGCTTCCAGCCCGGCAGCGCCGCGCCTACGCCCGCGGTAGGGCGCCACCTGCTGGCCGGGAGGACCAGGCTGTGCGGGTGAGGAAAAGGGCGGACGGCGCGGTGCGCGCAGCCCTCTTACTCAGCACAGCGCTGTCTGAAGCGGCCGAGGGCTGAGGCCGGCGGTACGGCTCCCCGACAGCCCTCGGCTTCTTCACCAGGACCGCCATCGCTGTCACCAGCTCAGGGCTGAAGCGCACAGCTGAGCACAGAGCGAGGCAGGGGGTAACACGTATTGCCTCAGGGCCGCCTTAGAGCTCTGAGAAGGACGAACGCACAGCCTCGCGAATCTGACCAGGCACCCTCAGCTCCCACCATCGCACCTCCCTCAGCTCAGCACCTCTCCGAGGTGACGCGCGCACCGCGCAGGCGCACCCACAACCCCGCCCTCCCACTCCTCTCCCCGCTCACCTCCGCGCGCACCGCGCAGGCGCAACGGCAGCCCCCGCCGGCTCGGGAACGGAGCGGCGCGGTGGGGCTGCGCGATGGCGGGCTGCAGCCTCCGGCCGCACGTGCACTGGGCGCAGCGGCACCACGAGCTGTACCTGCGCGTGGAGCTGAGCGACGTGAAGGTGCCGGTGTCGGTACCGGGGGGGCGGGGATGGGGCGGTCAGGGGGTTCCGCTGCGCCGTGTTAGGGCCCACCGAGGGCTGTCGCGGAAGTGCCGGTAATGCGGTCTCTAACAGAACTCGTCCCTTTGCAGAACCCGGACGTCAGCATCGCCGACGACGTGCTGCGTTTCCGAGGTAGGGCTGTGGCCGCTGCGGGCCGTGTCTTATCTCGTAGGCAAAGCGTTGCGCCCCGCATTTACATGTGGGGGACGTTTCCGTGTCCTTCTGTCCGTCTGCCGAGCCCACAAAGCCCCGTCTGTGTGCGTTATCGCAGCCCCATTTGGAAGGTAAAGCAGCTCCTTCGGTAAAAGGCCCGGCCCGGCAGCACGCTCGGTTCGCTGCTCAGCACGTCGGGATGCCGCCGTCAGTGCGGGTCGGTCACTTCTGTGGTCGTTTTCCCTCTATCCCGGTGGATGCCACCTCCTTGGCGAGCCGGCGGCAGGCACCCGGTTGGGCACGGCCACACGTGCCTGCCTGGGATCGGCGTGCGGACGGAAAAGAAACGGCACTGCCCGCAGCGCTGCTCCCAGCGGCGGCTTCCCAGCCGGGTTCCATCGGGCACGAGCAGGCAGTGCGGACGCCCAGCAGAGCTGTGGCTCCGTTGGTTCCTGCAGCTCCACGCCTCGGGGGGTTTCATCTTTGGGATCCCTTCCAGCATGGGATGCTCTCTGATTCCGTGATCGTCCCTCCTAGCGGGGCAGGGGAAGGCACTGTAAAACCAACGCTGAATATTCCTGTGTGTCAGGTGTACTTTAAAGGTGTGTGGGACTCGTTAAGTACTTTTTGCTGATCGTCTGCTCTTGTTTCTTAGCTCAGGGTCATGGTGCCAAAGGGGACAACATCTACGAGTTTCAGATCGAGTTCCTAGAGCCGGTTGAGCCTAAAGTAGGTATTTTTCTTCTAACTTCTGCAGAGAAAAAGTTTTTTGTTGTTGTTGTTTGCTTGTTTGTTTGAGAAACATGAGAAGAGAATAGATGTGCATGAAGTCCACGATGTGCTGTTAGGTCTTCCTGGTGACTGACTGCTAAATGCTACCCATAGCAGTCCTGTGTTGCTGTGCTCAGCCACCATCCTGCCTTAACGTGGCTCATCTCACTGGGGAGCCTTGATAGGACCAGGGCCTTAAATTTACCATAGCTGCTACACAGTAGTTACAATTTGTACAGGAATTTAAAGCAGCAAGATAGTGGGAGATGCCTGCAATAGTTTGTCTGATGCAGCTAAGCCTTGGAGAGGAGGGGGAACACCACAGTACAAAGTGTCAGTGTGGCTGCTTTTACAGCCCAGCAAAATAAATTCATGAGAACTGGTGTTTCTGGCTTGTACAAATTCCTTGGGTTGCCAGTACTGACACATTGCAGGTCGTATTGCAAAACATTGTTTTAATTGCTGTTGTAGCTCAAGAGGAGAGAGCTTGGCTGGAAGAGCAAACTCCTGTAGGTGGCTGTGAAATCTGGCTTCATTTCTCAAAACCCTCCAGGGCGTGGAAGAACTCCAGGCTCTGCTCCCAGCAGAGGATTTGTGCTGCTTACTCCTGCAGTCACTCCGGGATCCATGGTTTGGCTCTGCTGCTTTGGCAAGGAGGAGGCCGGAGGGTGGCCATCAGTGAGGGACAAAGCCTGTGCCAGTAGCAGCTGTAAATTACAGCTGCAGCCTTCAGATGTCCTAGGAGCACAGAGCCAGCCTTGACAGAAGGAGTGCTGGGGGAACATCAGTAACAAATGCAGGTCATGGCTCTTCCTCTCACCAGAGCAGGTTTCGTGTGGGATTCCCTGTTCTGGAGATGTACCTGTGAATGACGATAGCATTATTTTTACCACTGGCTAAAGGAAGTGGCTCACAGTACGAAACACAAGAATGCCTAAAGCCACGGTCTGTAGGTTTGTGTGGGATTGCTAGCACCAGGGGCTGTGATAACTGACTGGTAGGATAGTGCTATGCTGTGCAGGCAGGCCTTCCAGTTGGTCATCAAATCACAAGTTCCATAACCATCTTAGTTGCCATCTTCACCTTGCGCTTGGTTTCTATGGCATGTCTTGGGCAGCAGGGAGATGCCTGTCCTGCAGCAGTCTATGTCAGCTCTGCGTTGCTGGTGGGGAGCTCAGGTATCAGCCTCAGAGCTCGATGCTTAGGGCTCTTGTTGATGTGTACTCTTGTCTGCCTCCAGCCCGTGTGCAGGGTGACTCAAAGGCAGCTCAACATCACTGTGCAGAAAAAGGAGAGTAACTGGTGGGAGAGGCTCACCAAGCAAGAGAAACGCCCGCTCTTCCTCGCTCCGGACTTCGATCGCTGGTTAGACGAATCGGATGCTGAAATGGAACTGAAGGAGAAGGTTGGTCCTGCGGGCTCGGAGGGTTTGTGCTGCCAGTCACAAAGCAAGGATTGCTGTGTATTAGCTCTGTGCTGGCTGATGCCTGCAGCTGAAGGCTTGCACTTCTTGCCTTACACCGTAGCAGTCCTGTGTGATCCATATGAGGGTCAGATTAATGTCAGAGACACCAGTCCTGACATTGCTTGTCTAGGAAGCAGGAACTTGTTTCCACATGTACTGCCACAGTACTGTTTCCTGAGCTGCAGGGCTGGCTCTGACTTTGCATTCCCACCATATGGTAAATTCAAGCAGCTTAATACAGCAGGGAGGTGAAAGCCCATCTTGGAAAGCACTTGAATGGAACAGACTATGTTTCTGCTTAACTGGTGTAAAACAAATGCAGCCCTATTCTCTGCCACTGAGGTTAGTGCAGAGGCGAAAGAGCTGCTGCAACAACAGAAGCAGCTCTGAAGGGCGGGAGGAGCCTGGACTGGATGTACTCAGTTCCCTTCAGTTCTCTTGGCTGTGGGAACAGTTCTAAGAAACAGTAATAATTGTGAACACAAAAATCAGCTGGCTTTTTCAGCAAAAGCACCTAACTGTTAGAGCACCACATACTACAGTGAAGGCTGTATAGCCAGTTAACACCCTCTGCCTTTTACATTACCGTTAATTGTGGATGAGAAACGTGCTCTGTTTTATGCAGGTGAACATTTAAGCCTTCTAGCAATTGGCTGCTTAACTGAGTTTTAAACCTACTAGCTTTGCAGTAGGGTAGTTAACAAATCAGTTGCTAATTACAGTAATGCTCGCTAAAACCTTATCCTTCATCTTAAGGAGGAAGAAAAGATTAACAAAATGAAAATAGAATCCAGAGTCCCAAAAGACCGTAAGTAACTGTACCTTTCTGGTGTGGGAGATGGGGAGAATCAGAAAGCTTCTGTAGCTCACATCTGCGATCTCATGGAGCAATTTTGAGTGGCTTGGTGTATGCTGGAGGAGGATCCTTGTATTATGAGCAATTTAGAAATTCAATAAAAATTGCCTGCAGTTCCTAAGGAGTTCAAAAATCTGACTAACAAGAATTCTGTTCTAGCAGATAATAAAAGCAGGCAGAATCACAAAGCACACAGCTACTCTTTTGCCACAATCAATAGTTTCCCTTTTTGTAAGCTGCATTTTCACAGAAAGCTTGGTTTGCAGGAGTGCGTTTGCATTGTAGTCTGCTCATCTGATGCATTTATTATTGATTTCAGCTTTCAAACACCTGAAGAAAGGATACTTGATAATGTATAATCTTGTACAGTTTTTGGGATTCTCTTGGATTTTTGTGAACATGACAGTACGACTGTTCATCTTAGGAAAAGGCAAGTAATAAGCACTACTTTATCCTTTCAGGGTGTTGTTTTTAAATCTTTTTAACTTGTTGTTGTTTTTAAACTTTTTAAATATCAAAGTCTAAAGGAAGACATATCTAGGAAATAAAGTAGTAAATCTATCACCAAAGTGCACAACGAAAGCCATCGCATTTTCAAGGATAGGAAAATACTGTTTTCTTGAAGTGACAGGCGTGTATCCTAATAAGCCATGCTTGTACTCCACCAAGATTTCATCTAAAGAAATCAGATGGAAGAAAACTTCTTGCTTACTGCCATATTGGTATTTTTGAAAATAAGCTGGGCAGAATTCTTTTGGTTTTGAAGTGAAAATAATTCATTCTGCTGAGGTATCAAAAGTTATGCTTCCTGCATCTGAAGAGCTGTTTGTCCTTAGGGCAGTGTCCTGTGTCTTACAGATTCTTTCTATGACACGTTTCACACTATTGCTGACATGATGTACTTTTGTCAGACCCTGGCGTTGATGGAAATCCTGAATTCACTGATAGGACTAGTCAGATCACCACTGATTCCTGCTGTAATACAGGTAGTATTTTAA